GTCACATTATAACGCCCCCACGGCTGAAAGGGCGAGTATGTTTGGTGGGATGGGGATTCGAACCCGCGACCCTCAGATTACGAGTCGAGCGCCCTAACCACCTGGCCATGCCATCTTCAGTAGTACGAGTCAAATATATATTACACAGTATCCCTGATGTCCTGGGAAGTTGACTAGGTAATGTCACTTGCAATTAACATCACATACTATCCTTAGTGGATAGGACGCTTGTCTCTCAACCTGAGAGTTGCGAGTTCGAATCCCCGTCGCCGAACATGCTCACCTTATATGATTGCCGACATGGCAGGCCACCCGAATGTAGAACTTCTTGGCTTTCAAAAATTACCGGCTGACCCCAAATCAATTAGAATTAAGGTTGTTACGGAGAAGAAGTCTGAAATACTATCATGTCTCTAAATATTCCTCATGTCTCTAAAAGTGTCAGACATTTTAAATCTGCCACTCTTTTATTGAGTAACACAATTCTAAGCAAACTCGCCAGCATTTCTTATGTCTTGATGTCTTGCCAAGTATTAGTAAAAAAAAACACAAAATATTATCCCTTATGTCTTGGATAATACCATTCCAAATAAACTTTACAGACATATTGTCTAAGGTAATATTAAAATTGTAAATTTAACATACTACTCCTGATATCCTGGGTAATATCATTCTTAATAAATAAGTAAATCTATCTAAGGATTTCTGATGTCATTCATATGACAAGTCCAAATAAACCTAAGATAAAGTTTAAACATTGTATGATTAAGTCTGAAAAACGTTATACAGCTGTCCTCGTGTCTTTGGTATTATCAGTCTGAATGTACTCTATATTTTTCGGTACTACTTTTTTCGAATACATTTAGCATCCTAAGGTTATGGGCAGTACTACTTATAATATGCCTAATATAACTCATTTATTAAGTAAATAAATACATCTGAAACAATGTTTCAGGTGTCTTAAACTATTCTCAGTACGAATAAGCCTGACGTAGCATTTCTCATGTTATTCATGGTAGTAATTCAAATAAATCATAATATGATAACCTGGATCATGGATAGCACTAGTTCGAATCAACCTATCTGTTTGTAGCATATGTTATTAATTCACTGAGCGATGAAGGTTTGTGATATATATAAACTTAAGTTTTAGATAAGAAATGTTTCTAATGCTTGTTTGTTTGTTTGTTATGG